CCCCTCATGTTTTGCATTGTATTGGTATTGTTCCGTCACATGTTCTGTCCCCCTGTACAGCGCTGAGCGAACTATTGGCGCTTTATAAATACTGTATAATAATAATAATTTTAGTAGGCAGCATGGCCCTTCCCATTCCCTTCTGTGTTGATTTACAGTGGCTCCCAGCAGGAGTTTTTTACACACCAGGGCTTGGTATGGTATCAACATGAAATTCAGAAAACTAGCAGTTTTAATGATCACTGTTGTGTTTGATAATAGCAGCATACATGTTCTTTTAGTATTCTTTTCCTTTAAGAAAGTGTCCCCCAGTTAGGTATTGCTTTTGTTTCAATAGGGAAAGTTTTAAAGGTGATGTATAATTTCACAAGGCTAATGTAAATTTTCTTTGGTGTAAATGTGAATTGTTAGATCTATATTAAATGTTGTGTGTGTTGTATTAGGACTGGACAAATCCCTTTCAACAGATCACAGAAGATACCAGAAATAGTCTCTGGTGATGAGTTCTAGACCAGGGGGGTCCTACAGCTCGGTCATTTTGTCCCTGCATTGTGACACATGTAGACACTTGTCTGCAGCCGCTACGTTGCGTGTTCATGCACCTCCAATTATGGCATAGACCTGTCCACATAGTTCTCTATGCGACCTCTAATCATACTTCATCCATATCCCAACTGGCTGACAGCAAGTGATGTAATCATTCAGCAGTAGTCACACAGTGCTTTGTCACTAAAGCATTACTAGTAAGGATACTGATTGTGGTTTGCAAGCAGTGTGTATGGAGGTCTCATAGTTACAGAATACTGTTATATGTAGTGTAAGGGAGAGGAGAAGAGAGGGGATGGAACTGTGCATTCCAATCCTCCTCTTATTAGAGGGGTATATGCACCCATAGGGCTGCTGCACTATAGCATCCTGTACAATCTAGAGAAGTTCCACCATGCCACTGCTGCATTGTAAGGCATTGTCACCCTACCCAATACAACTGGCAGGATTACCAGGTAAAGTTTACCAGTTTGATAGTTATTCAAAAGACTGATGCCTAGATGTATAGGTGCATTTGTACACCTCTTGTATTCAGTTTTTATGTACTTAAAACGTCTGTTATGCGTTTTTTTCTTTTTCAGAAGGTGTACAGACAGCAACCCAATAGCAACATTTTCTTTCTTGCAGACAAGGCTAAAACACTGAGTGAATGCAGAAGTGAGTTCAGATGTGTTTTATGTTTATAGTTTTTTTTAACATATAACAATATTTTAAATTTTTCTGTTCTTTTTGTTCTGTATGCATAGTAAACATTTCAGCAAAAAAATTGGAATGGGGAAATATACATTAGCCACTAGTCACTGCCAAACAATTTGTTTTACTTTGCTTTGTTTTAAGACATACAAAATGGGTGCTATATGCAGTGTAAAATGGCCCCCCTCCCCCAACTAACCCAAGCCATATGCGGCAAAATCCTTGCCCAGTCTATAGGTTTATTATTACTTATGAGCCACTTAGTGTAAATATAATTAGTTGATAAGGTTCGCTGACATTACGCACATCCTCATTAAATGTACAATTATACTAACCAAAAAATAACCAAAAAGAATGTCGCACTCCCAATTAATTAATAAATAAATCTTCAGTGCTGTGTACCAACATACACTCTGATATAATGTGATTGTTGCCAATTGATATACGATCAATATAAAACATTTCAGTATATAAATCATTTGTGCCATGTAATTGCAACTGATAATGTGATAATTTACTCAAAATAAACAATAAAGGAGTCTCTGTGATAGATAGAGATAGATAGATAGATAGATAGATATATATATATGACAGTCCCAAAGAAAACGATATTGTGATCCAAAGTGTTATTTGTGACTTCCAGTGAATCCCTAATGTGATTAGGTTATGCGCTCACCTCCTTACAAGCCTAATATATAGGCATACTCCGCTTTTTGTTCACAATTGGAACCTGGTGTGATTATTTGTTGCACCGCCTGATGGATGGTGGGTATCCCTTATAGGCTTCCCAATGACCCCTCTCCTCATGTGCCAGTATCCCTGCTGGGATCTCTCCCTCCTTCTGCTGCTGTTTTTCTCGTCCTTCTCCCCAATCCTGTCCTAGGTTTTCCTCCGTATCAAGGTGTATGGAAAGAAAATAGGAATATAGTGCCTTATCCTTTTATATAAACTTTATTATGTGCCCAATAATGCACTCACATCTTATTAAAACATCAAGCGCTTTGTATAAAACAATCTTTAACTGTGTGCACCGCACTCAGTGTATACTCGCCTTTTTATATTTTAATCAGTCAACAATTATGGTTACAATTTTAATATGTTAATTAGTAGCATATGGCAAATACTATTAAGTAAAAAGGTACGATTATAATAGATTTAATACTAAGGAAAAGGGGATTGCATAAGGATTTCCTAAATAAGTAGCAGATACATAGATCAGCATACCAGTAGAAATACTATATAGATTGGGATAGAAATAAGTGATATGCAATCACATAAATACAATACTCGCATAATGATTTTATATAAAGATTAAGGTAAAATTTATTTTAAAATTTAATATTATGATTTTATTTCACATTTTAGTTTAAACATTTTATTTTTATTTTAAGTAATTATGATGTTTTTTGCGTTGTATAACCTTAACTGTTAATACATAAAATGTGTATTAAGGTTATACAACGCAAAAAACATCAAAATTACTTAAAATAAAAATAAATAATAATTAACATATTATAATTGTAACCATAATTGTTGACTGATTAAAATTATATAAAGGCGAGTATACACTGAGTGCGGTGCACACAGTTAAAGATTGTTTTTTTATACAAAGCGCTTGATGTTTTAATAAGATGTGAGTGCATTATTGGGCACATAATAAAGTTTATATAAAAGGATAAGGCACTATATTCCTATTTTCTTTCCATACACCTTGATACGGAGGAAAACCTAGGACAGGATTAGGGAGAAGGAGGAGAAAAACAGCAGCAGAAGGAGGGAGAGATCCCAGCAGGGATACTGGCACATGAGGAGAGGGGGTCATTGGGAAGCCTGTAAGGGATACCCACCATCCATCAGAGGGTGCAACAAATAATCACACCAGGTTCCAATTGTGAACAAAAAGCGGAGTATGCCTATATATTAGGCTTGTAAGGAGGTGAGCGCATAACCTAATCACATTAGGGATTCACTGGAAGTCACAAATAACACTGTGGATCACAATATCGTTTTCTTTGGGACTGTCATATATATATATATATATATATATATATATATATATATATATATATATATATATATATATATATATATATATATATATATTCTATCACAGAGACTCCTTTATTGTTTATTTTGAGTAAATTATCACATTATCAGTTGCAATTACATGGCACAAATGATTTATATACTGAATGTTTTATATTGATCGTATATCAATTGGCAACAATCACATTATATCAGAGTGCATGTTGGCACACAGCACTGAAGATTTATTTATTTAATTAATTGGGAGCTCGACATTCTTTTTGGTTATTCCTTGCCCAGTCTATAACATTTTCAACCTCTGTACTGCAGAGCCAGCACAATCTGATCCTATCCCACAGTTTTGTAATCCCGTCCTTATTTAGATATGCCAAACATACTTTTGCATTGCAATACACGGTTTCGTTGGGCAACTATGGGGCAAAGGAGGTTAAATGCTGATAAATGTAAAGTTATCCCCTGGGGTGCTAAGAATATACATGCATCATACATACTAGTGGGAGTACAACTGGTGAAATCAGTGGTGGAGAAGGATCTAGGTATTCTGGTATATCATAGGCTTAATAATAGCATGTAATGCCAAAATGAGCAATATAATATGAATAGATAAATTCGTTTTGGCCACCAATTCACAAAAAGGATATTGGAAGGCAGAGAAGGACAAACAAACTGATGAGAGGCATGGAGGAGGTCAGCTATGAGGAAAGAAAAGCTAAACTGAATTTATTCTCTCTTGAGAAGAGGAGATTAAGGGGGGATATGATCAACATGTATAAATACATAAGTGGTCGATATAGTGAACTTTGTGTACAGTTATTTACTTTAAGTTCATCACAGAGGACACTTTTTGTGTGGAAGAAAAGAGATTTGCCTCCAAATACAGAAAGGCTTCTTCACAGTAAGAGCTGTGAAAAATGTGGAATAGACTCCCTGAAGAGCTTGTTCTGGCCAGTTCAGTAGATGGTTTTAAAAAGGCCTGGATTATTTCCTAAATGCACAAAATATAACTGGATACATATATTTATAGGCCAAGTTGATCCAAGGAAGATCCAAGTTCTTTTTGTTTTGCCTTCCTCTGGATCAACTTTTTGTATATGGTAGTATATATGGAGGTTTTCTATTGTGTACAGGTATGGTTTTTTTTTTTTTTGTTATCTCTGTAGTTTGGACTGGTGTCTTTTTCAACCAGACGAACTATGCAACTTCTTTTTGGAAAATCAATGAAAATTTTTATTTGTACTGGATCTGTAAAATTGCCAGTCCCTTCTCTAAAGACTTTCAGGCAGCTGTCTTGTCATAATGAAGCCCTGTTTATACAGTTTATGTGATATGGACATTTGCTGCTGTAAGCATCCATGTTTACATAACCATTTATCATCAAAAGCTCAAGCGTAAAGCATTTGATGCAGAATTATTTTACTTTGATAATGTTTCAAGTTAAATATACATTTATTTGCTTATTTAGGAAGCTTTTCCAATTGTTTACTTGTGGGGAACAAAAACAATAACAAGGATCAATATGACCGCACAAACCTGTGAAATCTGTTTAGGAAAGGTCAACTCAGAAATACAAAATCAGTGACCTAACTATACAAATGTTTTTTTGTTTGTTTAATTTTTAACAGAAAACACTGGATGACCTGAAACATACATTTCAGATTCTTGAAAGTTCTGAAAAGATACAAGACAATAAATAAAGCCTTTGTGAGGGTTCCAAGATGTGTGGAATATGTTGTACTGTCAGTTTATGTGCTCATGTGGACACATCTTTTTATCAGGAAAACATGAAGCTAAAACGAAGAGGCCCCAATAGCAGCCAGCAACTAATTAGAAGTGACCCCACCCACCATTACAGTTGTTTCTTTTCTGGGCATGTACTTCATCTAAGAGGAGAGCTGACTCCACAGCCTCTGCAGGATGAAAACGGCAATATTTTTCTATGGAATGGAGAAGTTTTTGGAGGAATTGATATTTTGTCTACAACGAACGATACCTTTGTAATGTTTCAGCATTTAACTTCTTGTGATAATGTGCATGACTTATTGTCAATCTTCTCTAAGGTGCAGGGACCTTGGGCTTTTATTTACTATCAAAGCAAAAATCACAGCCTCTGGTTTGGAAGAGATTATTTTGGTCGGAGAAGTCTTTTGTGGAAATTTAGTGATAATCTGGAAGAAATCTTGAGTTTGACTTCCGTGGCAGAATCCCTAACTGATAATGATCATTGGCAGGAAGTCCCAGCATCAGGGATTTTCAGGTGTGACCTGAGTACATGTGCACTGTTAAAATCTATATCACTGACCTGGTATCCATGGGTATCTGTATCAGGCATGCAGCTTGGTGAAGCAACAGTACACGACGAGGAACAAAAATGGATTTTAAACACCCTTCCAAAATGTGTAACTCAACTAACTATTGGAAGTAATGGACTCCTTGTGCCAGTTTCTGAATTGAACACAGACATTCCTGAAACATTTTCTGAGCAGAAATGCAAAACCACTTGTAAGAAAGTAAATTTAGAAGAACTTAAATTGCTGATTTCTGAAGAACACAAGAAAAATATTCAGTTGTTTGTAAATGTTTTTAAGTGAAGCTGTGCTGAAACGAGTTCTGAACCTCCCACGCTTAAATGAGTCTTTGTGTCCAGCACTTGAAAAGCAAGCAAATGTTGCAATACTTTTTTCTGGTGGAATTGACTCCATCATTTTAGCTGCCCTTGCAGATCGCCATGTTCCAACTGAGGAACCCATTGACCTTTTAAATGTAGCTTTTATGATGAGGACCCCAAATCAGCAGAAGGGACCTTTGAAAAAATGCAGTCGAGGGAAGATTCCAAATTCTACAAATCAGAGGAAACCATTCCAATCCTGATGCTTTGGCGATAGATCCCTTTAATGTCCCTGATAGAATAACAGGCAGATCTGGTTTGGAGGAGCTTAAAGCCTTGAGTCCAATGAGAATATGGAATTTTTGTAGAAATCAATGTCACTCCGGAGGAACTGAAGCAAATGAGGCAAGAGTACATATCTCAGTTGATCTATCCATTGAACACGGTACTTGATGATAGCATTGGCTGTGCTGTTTGGTTTGCTTCTAGAGGAATAGGTATGCTGCAAATTAATGGAGAATTAAGACCCTACAACAGCACTTCTAAGGTAATTGCCGTGTTTAAAGGAGCCATGGAATATGGGCTTAGCTAATGTAACTGACTTAAATCTGTCTGAAATGTTTGAAGCGGTAGTAAACTCTTGTTACAAAAAAAAGGAAAACACAAAACAAAGGTCCCTCAGCAGGTTATTGCTAGAATGCACAGCACACTAGCACATTAAGACAGACTTGCCTGTAAAGCAGATCCCTCTAATGGTGTGCTATCACCACTGACAGGGCTTCCATCTTTACCCAGTCTTTCTTCTAAGCACGTGAACTCCGGCTGTTTGAATGGTGTGGCTGCGATGATGTCACTTATGTGCATGGGATCACAGCATTTTTGCATGTAACCATCCATTCACAGTACGGTGCGCATGCGCTGGTGATGTCACCAGCCACTACAAATATGAATATCTCCTAAACGGTGTATGTTTAGGAGATAGTCACTGTAACCATTGTTGTTTGTTGTGCAGATGCCGCTTTCTCACATCTGTACAACAAAGGTTTTTATACAAAGATCCCAAGTCTTATTTGATGCAAGTAACAATACACAAAGTACCGTATTATAAGACAATAAGACGACCCCCCTACTTTTCCTGCTAAAATGTAGTGTTTGGGCTATACTCGCCGTATAAGATACCCCTCTTCCAATGCACACCAGTAGGAATAGTGCCCCATCATTGATGTCACTGGGAGGAATAGTGCCCCATCATTGATGTCAGTGGGAGGAATAGTGCCCCATCATTGGTATCAGTGGCAGGAATGGTGCCCCATCATTGGCATCAGTGGGAGGAATAGTGCCCCATCATTGGTATCAGTTAGGTGCCCCATCATTGGTATCAGTGGGGGGAAAGGTGCCACCGCTGCCATCATTGGTATCAGTGGCAGGAATAGTGCCCCATCATTGGTATCAGTGGCAGGAATAGTGCCCCATCATTGGTGGTCAGTGGGAGAAATGGTGTCCCATCATTGGTGTCAGTGAGGGGTTGGAATAGTGCCCCATCATTGGTGTCAGTGAGGGGTGGAATAGTGCCCCATCATGGTGTCAGTGGGGGAGGAATAGTGCCCCATCGTTGGTGTCAGTGGGGGGGGGGATAGTATGGTGTCAGTGGAAGGGGAGGAATAGTGCCCCATCGTTGGTGTCAGTGGGAGGAATAGTGCCCCATCATGGTAAGTGACACAATGATGGGGCACTATTCCTCCCACTGAGACTTGCTGACCCTGTTCTCATATGGTGCTGCTGCAGCCAGCATATGTGGTTGCAGCAGCACCTCTACACAGAGCACTTACCTGCTGCTCCGGCACTCAATTTTCGCAGCTCGGCTCCGCCCCTCGCCGCCGTGATAGAGCTACAGTTCTGGCGGCCAATCACCGGTGTGAGGAGGCGGAGCCGCGCAAGACCGCACAAACATCCAGTGGCCGAACTGAAGGAGACGCCGCGCTTCCTGGAAACCGGATCGTCGTGGGACTGGATCCAGGTAAGAGACGTCAGCCCCTGCACTTAATGCCGCAGCCCCCCTAACATTTTTGAGAAGATTTTCAAGGGTCAAAAAGTCGTCTTATACAAATACGGTACTCCTGTAGAGGCAGTTTAGAAAATAGCAATGGGAGTTGACAGACTTATGTAAAATAAAACAGTGCAGCGCTAATAGACATACAGATTTAGAAACAAAATCAATAAAGCAATATAATACAGTTGCAAGAAAAAGTATGTGAACCCCTTGGGATTACGTGGAGTTTTGCATGAATTGGGCATAAAATGTGCTCTGAACGTCATCTAAGTCACAACAATAGAAGAACACAGTCTGCTGAACATAATACTACACAAACATTAGATGTTGCCATGGTTTAATTGCACATAACATGTAAACATTCAGAGTGCAGGGAGGAAAAAGTATGTGAACCTTTGGACTTAATAACTGGTTGACCCTCCTTTGGCAGAAATAACCTCAACCAAACATTTCCTGTAGTTGCAGATCAGACCTGCACAACGATCTGGAGTAATTTTGGACCACTCCTCTCTCTTCACAAAACTGTTTCAGTGTAGCAATATTCTTGGGATGTCTGGTGTGAATCGCTCTCTTAAGGTCATGCCACAGCATTTCAATCGGGTTGAGGTCAGGACTCTGACTAGGCCACTCCAGAAGGCGTATTCTGTGCTGTTGCAGCCATTGTTTTGTTGAATTACTTGTATGCTTTGGGTCATTGTCCTGTTGCATCACCCATCCTCTGCGGAGCTTCAGTTGGCGGACAGATGGTCGTACGTTTTCCTGTAAAATGTCTTGATAAACTCTGGAATTCATTTTCCCATCAATGACAAACAATCCGTCCAGGCCCTGAGGCAGCAAAGCAGCCCCAAACCATGATGCTCCCTCCGCCATGTTTTACAGGTTTTGACGTTGGTGTGCTGTGTCTTTTTTTCTCCACACATAGTGTTGTGTGTTCTTCCAAAACAACTCAATCTTGGTTTCATCTGTCCACAGTATATTTTGTCAGTAGTGCTGTGGAACATCCAGGTGCTCTTTTGCAAACTTCAAACGTGCTGCAATATTCTTTTTGGACAGCAATGGCTTCCTCCGTGGTGTCCTCCCATGTACTCCATTCTTGTTTAATGTTTTCCTTATTGTAGATGTGTCAACAAAAATGTTAGCATGTGCCAGAGATTTCTGTAGGTCTTTAGCTGACACTCTGGGATTCTTCTTTATCTCATGCAGCATTCTGCGCTGTGCTCTTGCAGTCATTTTTACAGGACGACCACGCCTAGGGAGAGTAGCAACAGTGCTAAACTTTCTCCATTTGTAGACAGTCTGTCTTACCGTGGACACATGAACATCAAGGCTTTTGGAGATACTTTTGTAAGCCTTTCCAGCTTCATACAAGTCAACAATTCTTGATCGTTGGTCTTCTGAGAACTCTTTTCTGCGAGGCATGGTTCACATCAGACAGTACTTCTTGAAACCAGTAAACCCAAAACAGATGTGTGTTTTTTAAGGGCAGGACAGCTGTCAGAAACACATCCAATATCATCACACTGATTGGAGTCAAGGTTGGCTCACTCCTGGCTCCAATTAGCTCTGGGAGAAGTCATTAAGCTAGGGCCTCACATACTTTTTCCTCCCTGCACTGTGAATGTTTACATGTTATGTGCAATTAAACTATGGCAACATCTAATGTTTGTGTAGTATTCTGTTCAGCAGACTGTGTTCTTCTATTGTTGTGACTTAGATGACGTTCAGAGCACATTTTATGGCCAATTCATGCAAAACTCCACGTAATCCCAAGGGGTTCACATACTTTTTCTTGCAACTGTATATCCAGATGACATAAATAAATATAATAGGGTAAAAAGATATGATCTATTCAATGGTAATAGTCCTGCAATTTCAAGCCAGTGCTGGTATCTGATATTAATATGAGAAATGTGCACTCACCGGACGTGCACAATAAAAGTGCAAGGTATATATCCAGGTATCCGCAAGGACAGGGGGCTCCCTCTCTGGATACAAAAGGCACTGGGCGTCTAAAGAAAAAAATGCTCCCCGCATGGGGTCAGGAACTGAAGAATGCCCATAGTAATATGGTTAAAGTAAAAGTAATTTATTAGCATAGTAAAAAAGCGGATGCATTCAGGGCAATATAAAATGTGTTAGAGATGAACATAGGACTAACTGTCCCTAAAGAGGAATGGCCGCCGGAGCTCCACGATGCTCCGACAGCGTGACGTCACGGCATGAGTAGGCTCCTCCTTGACAGACTGCTACATGTGCCCTCAAAGGTGCATGAGTTTCTTCTCTAGCTGCATCAATTTTCTTCTTCAGAGCACCACAGTAAACCTCCTATGGTCACTGCCTCTGGTGCATTTCCTGCATCTGTCTATTAACCTTTCACCATTATTATGGGCATCTTCAATAACCAGTAGTAGGCATAGCAGGAGATGAATTAAGAAAAATTATTATTATGGCGCCTAGTGTTACTGATAACACCAACAGAATATATATTAAATGTGATATAAAATTTGCAGCTGCCTCTATAAGGTGGATTTTCCCACTTGTGCAAACTAATATTTTTAAATAGACAGGTGCTAAGCAAATACAGTGTGTTTGTATATGTAAAAGAAGCATGGTTCACAACATGCCCCTGTATCCAAGCGTCTTGTGCCAACAGGTATAAGTGAATTACTCACTCACCAGACCTTTTGACCCCGGTTAAGGCGGTCAAATGCGCATTTTGGTAGTGTATGGAGCCATCCTCTTTGGTTTTCCTAGGGTGTTTCTCCCCTCCAACAGCTCTCCATTAAACAAGCCCAAGGATATGGCAATAAGGTTAATAGCAAACTCTCCAATTCATCTGTGTGCTCAATGCAGACAGTTCCTTTCTTGAGGAGATACCAAACAAATGTAAGACCGTTTTAAGTGTAGAATTTATTAAATTGACAATGTACACGAAAGTAATCAGATGTACACTCACGTGAAGCGGTGCCTATTGTACCGCCACCAGTAAATACAGCTTGTGAATATCAAATATGGCCGACATGCGCTCCAAGCCTTGCTCTCGCTATGGCTGAATGTGACTTAATCACTCTTCGACATACCTTTCACCCAGAGGCATCTTGATTACTAGAAGAACATAAATACAATAACAAAATGCACATTTGACCACATTAACCTGGGTCAAAAGGTCTGGTGAGTGAAAATTCACTTATACCCTGTTGGCACATGGTGAAGATAGATACTTTTATGGGTCACAGCGCAGTGGATTATAAAAGGACTGTCACTTCTCTAATATATATGTGTGTATATAAATATATATATATATATAATGTGTATGTATGTATATATATATATATATATATATATATATGTATGTGTATGTATATAGTCACTTATGGACTTTCATTTTGTTTATGTATATTAGGATGACCTAGCACCTCCAATAGGTACAATATATTAAGATGCTTGAATAGCAGGAGATGGGTCAGAGGCAGCACCGGTTTTGTGGTCTTCTGGGACGCTGAACGAAAAAGTAATGCTTGTGTGCCAGCATTGGAAAGTGCTTCTTTACTAAAATGTTTTTCCGGGTTTACTTTAATCCCAGCACTGACATTTCAGTTAGATGCTACATGCTGGAAGCTATTCAGATCTGAGGCAAGTGTCAAAGTAACAGAATTCCCACCAGAAAGTTCTGTTGTGCTATTGATGGGCAGTTTAATGCATAGAAAGAGAATGCGCAGGAGCTTTGACTTCCCCATGCATGATACAGAAAGTTGATGAGTAGAGGCATAAGCTTACACCAGATCTAGTTTTCTTTGCAAGAAAAGTTAAGCTGACATGCATTCTGATACAGGACCTATTCTGAAGCTGCTCTGTCCTATCCTATTGCTATATTATGCTGCTTGATGTTCCAGCTCCTAGAGAAAACCCCCATGAAAATAAACCCCATTGCAATACAGGAGCTGAGTTTTTTTGGTACCCTGCTTCATGGTATGATTCTAGCAGCCATTGTGATTGAGATACCAAAAAAGTATATCTTTTGCATATTCAAGCTTACTCATGGCTCACTGACTTTTCCTGGGAAAGTTTAGCTTGGGAAGCACAAGGAAGAATAGGTTCAAGTATTCAAGTATTAAACCATTGCAGTGCTGCTTAATCCGCTCATTTCTGAACTACAGGTTGTGCTGACTGGTATTGGTGCAGATGAACAGCTTGGTGGTTACTCTCGTCATAAAGTCAAATTCAATATGCTGGGATACAAGGGTCTTCTTGAGGAGCTAAGTATGGAATTGGGACGCATCTCCTCTAGAAACCTTGGGCGAGATGACAGAGTTATTGGTGACCATGGCAAAGAAGCAAGGTAAGCCAAAGTATTTTTTTTTTTTTTTTAACACTGCACTTTTAATACATGTTAAAGCAAACCTGTTTTCCCAAAAGAGCAACTCTGTTTTGAAGCAAGAGGGTCTAAATTACACTCAATTAGAATTTTGAAAGAGGATCAGAATTGTAAACCTTAATTTCTATCATGACAGGATTCATTTAGGAAACCTGTATGGCAAAAAAAAATCCCAAAAAGACCATTCTCATGCAATAGAAGAGCCCTTTCACTTGCCTTCTTACCAGCATGTGTCTCCAACCTTCTCAGTTTCCTTGCTGTAGCCTACATCAGTCTTTCCTGCATTTGACACTTCCTGAAGTATCAGAATGCTTGTTCCCTTCACTATGCACTGATGTTCCTTCCTCTGACCCCTACACAGCAGAGATTAAAAAGTACATGGAAGGAAGTGCAGCAGAGAGCACAGGCATTCAAACACACCCAAATATGTCAGACTGATGAAGGCTGCAGCAAAATTGTAGGAGACACAGGCTGAAAGGTGAGAATACGATCTTATCTATTGCACAGAATGTGTTCCTGCACTGTGTAGGATATTTATGTGCAGGGGCGGATTGACCATTCAAGCAATAGGGCACTGCCTGAGGGCCCGGGGTCAGTAGAGGGCCCCATGAGATGTCCCTGGTACCTTTCATTGGCTTTTTTTTCATAGGCTTTTTTTTGGGTGTGGGCAAGGACACGGGCCCCATGATCCCCTATTGCCCGGGGGCCCCATGAGTTGTCAGTCCGCCCCTGTTTATGTGATATTCCTTATCTGCCATTTTAAAGGAAACCTGTGACTACAAACATGTAGTAGCATTGCTGCTATTATTTTATCATCAGTAGACTCCATTATATGTTGTGTACTACTGTGACTGGGTGCCCACCTCTGCTATTCCATAGTTTTATTATATGATGCCTCTGTATGAGCCATGCTATGAAATGTTAGGAAGGAGGGCATACTCAAGTAGCACCCATCTTTCTAGGCACATAACCATGCATGCCTGTAGCCTTATATATAGCTAGGTTTTCTTGTCCTTGGTTACCAGCAGGGATGAGCTCAGGCATGTTCGTGTCCGACCAGGATGCTGTCAAAGCAAACAATCAATCCTAGGCAGTGGAGGCATTCCCTGCCCTGCAACTGCAAGTATACAAGCATCATCATGATTGGCTGTCCACTTTGACAGCTTCCTGGCAGGATAACTCGGGCAGGCTTGGACTCCTATCTGAAACACACCTGAGCTGATCCCTAGTAGCCAGGTAACATATCTAGCATCTAACCTAACACAGCCATAATTGTCTCACAAAAACTTTCGCCTAACTTGGCTGTACTACATTGTCATAAATAACCTTTTGTGAAAGTTGACCAACATCCACAAAAACTGGGTAATTTAGATTTTAATAGCGAAATCCTAGAATATTTTAACACATTTGCCTTTCGTGCTTTTTTTGAGCCAAGTTTCTACATGGATACCTATATATGTGACTGTTTTGTGAAAAAAAAAAAACATGCAGTTTCTGAGGTTGTATGGGCTATATTACATCCTGAGCTTTAGTAGCCAGTGAAACCTAGGCACGAGGTTGTCAAGACTTTAAAACTTATAAAACCTAAGACTTCTTATTGCACGAGCTGTTTCTTTACACTTGATGTGAATTATAGACCAACTTGTCAAAAATTTTATTTGTGTCTGTATCCGATATGAGTGACTCCACTCTTCTGGTCTATTGACAAGATGGGGAAAAAGACAGCAATAAAAGCATTTTCTAGAAGACTGAGGAAAATGTTGTCCCTAAGAAAGAGATATTTTAATTTCTTGTTTTGTTAAGGTGTGTGAGAGATCAGAAAGAGAACTCTTCTAAAACATTTAGGCCTTGTTCACACCATACATGCAGAAAAACTAATGGAAACTGACACACACATTTCTCTTGCAGAGACATTAGTTTACATCAGTTTTCATGCGTGTTTTTTTTTCATGTTTCCTGCTTAGAAAAAAATCTGCATGATACTAGGGTTGTGGTGTGAACAGGGCACAGAGAATAATAATTTTTTTGTGCCCATGCAGAATGCATGCAGAAAACCTGAGGTCTCTGCACCATGGTGTGAATAAGCCTATAAAATCTGGCATGGCGAATCACAAACTAAAGCATTTCAAATCTCAACAGAAACACAGAAAACTGTAAAAAAAACCAAAAAAGAAAAAAAAGACTGGTTCAAAGTCTTCCACATTCTATAATAAGATGAACATAGCTGCAGTTAGGCTTTTATCGTGATGGTTTGATACACAAGAGTGTTTGTTTACCCCAGGGCTTGACAAATCCCAGGTGCCAGGTTGCCATGGCATCTGGAAATTGTGTCCAGTGGTCTGCTGCAGGGACCCTTGTGCTTGGGGACAACCCCCCCCGTGCAGTGCAGCGATCGGGCTGTCCGGTACTTGAGGCTGAGGCGCTGTGGGAACTGCCCGCCCACCTCCAACATCTCCTTCTCCGTTTGACAGCTGGGTGCTGTGGTTTTTAGTTGCGGGTGCCAGATTCTGCCAGTGAGTGGACAGGGAGTGTGGGGCAGCTGGCTATGGCTTCAGTTCATTGTATCCACCCTGATCTCCCACTATGAGGGAAACACAGGTTTGAGTTAGGTAACAGAATAGATCCAATCTGATTATCCATTTCGCCCCATCAGTGCTTTCTATTAGTGTCTCCTATCAGTGCCTACTCATCAGTGATGCATATCAGTGCAGCCTCATCAGAGCCACCTATTAGTGCTCATCAGTGCCTATGCGTGCCGCCTATTAGTGTCCATCCTTGCCTATCAATGCCTTCTCATCAGTGCCATCTATCAGTACCTCCTCATCAGTAGCGCCTATCAGTGCAGCCTCATCAGAGCACATCAGTGAAGGAGAAAAATTACTTATCTGCAAAGTTTTATAAAAGAATAACTTTTTTTTTTTTATTTTCGGTCTTTATTTGCCTGGCACCAGGTATGAGCAATTCCTATTGCCAGATGCCTCGGACATGCAGTTCTGGGCGCCAGGCAGCTGATTTTAAAAAACTTTTTAGCTGGCTCCTACATTTTAGACCTCATGCACACTGGACGTTTTTTACAGCTGCTGTTTTTGACTTTTGACGGTTTTTTTTTTTTCTACAGCCAGTAAACTCCCCAACATGTTATCCTATGTGTCCATGCACACATAGACTGTAATCAATGTTTTTTTTGGCAGGGAAAAAAACCCCCAGAACTAGTGGGTTTCTAGAGGAGTAGTTTTTTTAGCTGTAAAAACGCAGTAAATTGCGTTTTTTGGATGATTTTTTTACCCCCCCCCCCCCCCCCCCCCCCCCAAAAATTTTTTTTATTTTTTTTGCTTAGAAAAAAACACCCCTCTCTAATTCTCTAATAAACGCTAAAACTGCTAACGTTACCAGCATTAAAATGCCCAGTGTGGATGTAGCCTTAAGCAAATTTTGTCAAGCCTTGGTTTAACCCACTTCAATACTGGGCACTTTTATCCCTTCCTGCTTAGGCCAATTTTCAGCTTTCAGCATTCTCACACTTTGAATAACAGTTGTGCAGTCATCATGCAACACTCTACTCAAACAAAATTTTTATAATTTTGTTCACACAACTAGAGCTTTCTTTTGGTGGTATTTAATCACCACTAGGTTTTTTATTGTTTGCTAAATTAATGAAAAAAATCTGAAAATTAAAAAAAAAACCCAAAAAAAACCCACGTTTTTTCTTCATAAATTTAGGCTAAGATGAATTCTACTTGATTTCTTTGAAAATAACACAAATCAATATTTATTATTTAGTCTGTGGGAAAGTTATAGAGTCCACAAACTATGGCACTGATTATATATACTGTATCTGAAAATCGGTCAATCTTGAAGTACTGACGGCCAATACAATTTCTTGAGGCCCAGAAATGTCAGGGCAGTACAGATATCTTCCAAACGTCCCCTTTTTGCAAAGTCCGAGGTGCTTATTTAGAGGCATGGCGAGTTTTTTGAAGTTGTAATTTTTTGTCATTTTTTGGAAAATGAAGAAATTAATTTTTTTCCACAAAAAAATTTTTTTTTACATACTGTCACCATTGAAGTACAGTGTAATCGTATAACTTGTGTGGTTGTGATCAGGGACACTGACTGGTGACAGTACAAAAAAGTGTTGTTTTTTTTTGTTTTCTCTCTCTCTCTCTCTCTCTCTCTCTTCTTCTCTATGAGCAAGCATTTAACTGAATGAAGTCGATTCATTCAGTTTTTTTGTTGTGATTAGCTGTGATTGGCCCCAACTAATCACATGGATACAGATGGGCTGTGATTGGCCCAGTCTATACATTTGATCACTGTGACCAACCACAACTAGTGACACAATTGTATACAATGGATGGCATGAAAGGAAACCATCCATTGTTTACAGCTGTCATGTGACCTGCTATGATTGGTCACATGGCACTGGCAATGGGCCCGCACACAGATCTCTCATCGGGTGTGTCTGAGATACACAGCTGGTGACAGATCTTGCCACAGTGAGGCCCCGCGCGATTGTGTGATCCGGTAGGATGTCATATGACGCCCATCTGAATCGTCGAGAGTCTCACTCAGCTGTCATTTTGTTATTGGCTGGGTGGGAACAAGTTAATAAGGCATCTATTTCAATTCATGCTATATCACTTTAAAACTAGATGGTTTTCATAAGGTGTCTCCACAATGTCATTGCAGATCTCGCCAGCTTGTATTGTCGCTCCAAGCAGCTGATGAAACTGGAATCAAACCCAGGCATATTAAGCAAGAACTACACTGCTCAAAAAAAAAATTAAAGGGACATTTTGAAAACACATCAGATCTCAATAGGGAAAAATATCATGCTGGTTATCTATACTGATATGGACTGGGTAATAGGAACGTAAGGATGCCTCATCGTTTGATGGAAATGAAAACCTACTGAATTCAAAGTGAATTCAAACACCACCCTGAAAATCAGAGTGAAAAAATCCATTTTTTGCTGAAATTTCATTGCAGCAACTCAAAATGGTACTCAGTAGTTTGTATGACCCCCATGTGCTTGTATGCATGCCTGACAACGTCGGGGTATGCTCCTAATTAGACGACTGATGGTGTTCTGGGGTGTTTCCTCCCAGATCTGAACCAGTACATCACTGAAATCCTGGACAGTCTGAGGTGCAACCTGGCATCGTCCGATGGACCGAAACATGATCTATTTGTTGTTCTATTGGATTTAGGTCAGGCGAGCGTGGGGGCCATTCAATGGTATCAATTCCTTCATCCTCCAGGAACTGCCTGCATACTCTCGCCACATGAGGCCGGGCATTGTCGTGCATCAGGAGGAACCCAAGACCCACTGCACCAGCGTACGGTCTGAAAATGGGTCCAGGGATATCATTCCGATACTTAATGGCAGTCGGGGTGCCATTGTCTAACCTGAACAGGTCTGTGTGTTCCTGCATGGATATGCCTCCCGAGACCATCACTAACCCACCACCAAAACAGTCATGCTGAACGATGTTACAGGAAACATAACGTTCTCCATGGCTTCTAGAGACCCTTTCACGTCTGTTGTGTGCTCAGGGTGACCCTGCTCCCATCTATGAAAAGCACAGGGTGCCAGTAGCGGACCTGCCAATTCTGGTGTTCAGTGGCTAATGCCAATCGAGCTCTATGGGCAGTAAACACAGGGCCCACTAGAGGACATCGGGTCCTCAGGCCACCCTCATGAAGTCGGTTTCTGATTGTTTAGTCAGAGACATTCACACCAGTGGCCTTCTGGAGGTCATTTTGTAGGACTCTGGCAGAGCTCATCCTGTTCCTCCTTGCACAAAGGAGCAGATATACCAGTCCTGCTTAAGGACCTCCTACGGCCCTGTCCAGCTCTCCTAGAGTAACTTACTGTCTCCTGGAATCTCCTCCATGCTCCTGGTACTGTGCTGGGCAACACAGCAAATCTTCTGGCAATGGCACGTACTGATGTGCCATCCTGGAGGAGTTGGACTGCCTGTGCAACCTCTGTAGGGTCCAGGTATGGCCTCATTCTACCAGTAGTGACACTAACCTTAGCCAAATGCAAAACTAGTGAAAAACAGTCAGAAACGATGAGTAGGGGAAAAAAATGTCAGTGGCCTCCACCTGTAAAACCATTCCTGTTTTGGGGGGTCGTCTCATTGTTGCCCATCCTAGTGCACCTGTTGTTTAACACCAAAGCAGCTGAAACTGATTAATAACCCCCTCTGCTACTGGACTGACCAGATTAATATCCCAAAAGTTTAATTGACTTGATGCTATACTCTGATTAAAAATGTCTTCCTTTAATTTTTTTGAGCAGTGTAGAATGCATGTTAATGCTTTTTTTATGGATGACTTTGATTATATGAACATTTAGCCCAGGAGTCTTTTCACTGCAATTTGGTCAAACAGGGCCCACTATTTTTAAGTTATTAGTATAGCTTGTTAACTGTATGTAAGTGATTAGAAAACTATCTGTCCTATTCTACATACAAGATTTTGTTACCATTCAGCTCTACAGTGGCTTTTACATCCTTTTATTAATCAGTATTGGAGTTATTTTAACCTTTTTTCTTCTTTTTTAAGATTTCCATACCTTGATGAAAATGTGGTCTCATTCTTAAACTCTTTGCCGATTTCAAACAAAGTAGACTTAACTTTGCCCAGAGGACTTGGTGAAAAATTAATTTTGCGCATGGCAGCTGTAAGTTTAGGACTTGGTAACTCTTCAGTCCTGCCAAAAAGAGCAATGCAGTTTGGATCCAGGATTGCAAAAATGGAAACCGGTAACGAAAAAGCTTCAGACAAATGCAACAGACTGCAGACAGAAATAATTGACTGAATAATCTTTTAATTGCTTTATGAAAAGTAGGTACCCACTATATTTTGTTTAAAATACTGATAATAAAATTTAATTGAAAATTATTAAAATACAATGATATGAACTATTCATTTGGTGCACTG